GTACCAGGAACGAGCCACGCTCGGGCCAGGGCATTGAATGTTCCAGTGTGAAAGCCATTTGTCACCAGAGCACAGATGTTTCCAGGTCTGGGGTGAACTCAGACTGGACAACCTCCATGCTTTCCCCATCTTTTGGTTTATGCGGCCGTAGTTTTTTGTTTCAACACTAATTGTCCTTTTGCTTTAGCATTTTGCTTCCTGATTTCTGACGGTGCAGCTGATCCAATTTAGGAGCCGAAGGTCTCCTGACACAGCTTCATAAAGAGCAGAGCAAAGAACGGCTGCTGGGCGAGATCAGAGGTTATTAAAAATGAATTCCCGTTGGAACCGAGACTGTGCATATATCCTTGTTTATACAACGGCTGATTCCTTTGAACAGAATTAAGGGCTTAAAATGGATAGCGGGAGACTGAATTTCCCTGTGAAGCAGGGAAAGGATTTGCTGTCTTAATTCAGTGGGGAGAACAGGATCAGCTGTTTCAGATTTTACTGCCATGGAGACGAAAGTGGTGTCCCTGTCTTTGTTCATTCATCAGCTCGTACTTTCTGAGACTAAGGGCCAAGGAAAGGGCTGTAGGGTCCCTTCTGTTGGGGACCCTGCCCTCCCCTGTATGTCTCAAGCCAACTCGATGAACAGTTGTTCAGAGAACCTGAGGTTCCCCTTGGGGGCTCAAAGGATTCAGAGGTGGACTCACAAGGAAGGCCAAGGGTGATTTTATTAGATGGTACGGGAAAGCGCAGTACAGGTGAGCCGAAGATCCTCGCAGCCGCTGGGAACACAAATGGAGGGAGAGCCACGCCTTTTAAGTTAGGCATCAGACAGACACACACAGCTCCTTAAGAAAGGAAAAGGAACTAGAATGAGGGGGCGGCTGTCAATCAAGCTAAGGAAAGAGCTGCAGAGTTCTTCATGGTCTTCTGCCATCCTCCTCCACACTGCCGCTTGTGTGGATTTGGAGGGGTTCCAGGCTTCCTCTGCAAATGGGCTTCCTTCATACCCTTGATGGAGCTTTTACAGTTCCCAGTCCCCTCTCACACAATGGTGTCTGCTGGTTTCCTTTCTTTCTTTCTTTCTTTCTTTCTTTCTTTCTTTCTTTCTTTCTTTCTTTCTTTTTTTTTTTTACTTTTGAGAGAAAAACACAAGCAAGTTAAATCTCTCTCTCTCTCATCTCTATCTGTGTCTCTCTCTCTCATCTATCTGTGTCTCTCTCTCTATCTCTATCTCTCCCTCTTTTTTTTTTTTTTTTTTTTTTTTTTGAGACAGGATTTCACTGCATAGCTCTGACTGTTCTGGAACTCACTCTGTAGACCAGGCTGGCTTCGAACTCACAGAGATCTGCCTGCCTTTGCCCTCTGAGTGCTGGGATTAAAGGTGTGCACCACCAAGTTCAGCAATATTTTTCTTTTTAAAGTGGAATACTGTTGAGACCTTGGTGTGTAGAGTTGCCAGGCCATGGCAGCTGGCTCAGGTCACTACTTCCCTAGCTACTGTGCTGGGTCTCACTGTTTATGCTTGAATTCTTGTTTTGTTTTGAGTTTACAGTCATATGCTTCTCCATTTGTACAAGGAAAGACACCAGACTAATCCCAGTTATAAAATTAAGTAATTTCACAATTTCGCATCCAGGCCGTTTTTCTCCACACCAACTTTCCATGCATGAGAAGAAATTTTGTATATGTGACCTACTATTTTAAAACTCTACTAATTGAAATACTAACTTAGCAAATGCAATTTTATTCAAAGTGAAAAATATGAATTTGAAACTGTCTTTGGTATACAGAAGCAAAAGTAATCAAAAATGTAATATGTAAAACTGCTTATGACCTTGTTGTGTTGCATAGATGAATGCTTCTTCATCATGCTTGGGACAAAACACACTAGAATAAACCAATGGGTTCATATAGGTGCACAGTGTGAGAACCCAAAACTGCAAGATGTTTTTACTTGCATCCAATACTGACCTGGTAGTTCAGGCTTGTCTTTCCCCTGTATTTTAATATGTAGTGCTATCAAGACAAATAGTTTAATTTGTTTGGCAATAATTGTCTTCTTCTTTACATAATTTATTTAAAGTAATTTTAAGTGTATCCTTTATTAAGTCCTATAGGGATGAATATTACATACAACAATAAATACAAATAAAATACAGTACAGTATTTTAGAAAGTATAGTTTTAGCTTCACGTAATCCCCTAATGTATGTCATAAAAAGTACAAGTGATCTTCTATTAAGGTTATTCAAAAGCAGTTTACATCTGGCTGTGTCTATCTGTGGGTGTCAGTGGTGTATATGTGTGCACATTCCTTTGGGGAGGGGGAGGTGGTGTGTGTGCACATGCGCATGTGTATATGGGAACCAGAGGTCAGCCTCACCGCAGGTCTTCCTTGCTTCTCTACAGCTTTCTTTGTGTTTTTGAAGCGGAGTCTCTCACTGGCCCTGAGCTCCCTGTGTCAGCTGGGCGGGCAGGCCGGCTAGGGCACTCCGGGACCATGTCTGCTCAACCGTAGGGTCACAAACGTGTGCTCAATGCCGGGCTTTTCACATGGGTTCTGGGCATCTGAGCTCAGGACCTCAAACTTCCCGGCAGAGCCATCACCTCAGCCACACATGGTTTGGGGTTTTATTTCTTTCATTTCTGAAGGGGGGGTGGATACTAAAGTGCTGTGTTGGAAACATCTTATTTAAGAAAATGAGTTCAGGAAGGCTGAAGTTTGCCAAAGGACAGGTGGCAGGTTCTAGATGGACGCTCAAGGCAATCTCGTTCTGGATGCCTGCTCTCAGTCTCTTCCCCTAGTGCAGCTGAGGTTACAGGGCTGGGGCCCTGGAGGGAGGGAGGCAGAGGGGCTGCTGAAGACACCAATAGACATGCAGATACCTGGTACAGCCTGGAGTGTGCTGGGGGCTAGAGGGACACCAGGGCATGGAGGTTTCTAGCTCGGAGATTTAAAAGGGAGCATTGCTCCAGAAGGAGGAAAGAAAAGAGGGAGGGGAAGGAGTAAGATAGGGTGGGGAGGGAGAAAGAGGAGGGAGGGAGGGAAGGAGGGAGAGAGAGAGAAACCAGAGAGAGTTTTGCTGTGGCGTGGTTTAGATAAAAGGGTCCTAAGGTTAATTTTGAACCTTGTTGAGTCACAAGTAACATTACGACTTCTGAAAGGACTGTCACAAAAACACCTGAGTGCACAGGAGCCAGGGCTGTTGAGAGGCAGAGGAGAAAGTGTACATTTGGAATAATATTCAGTGCAGATGAAAGAGAAACAGGAAAGCCGCTGCCAGAAGCCAGCCTAGAGAGAGGAAGAGTAGGGTTGAGGCCTTGGGAAACAAGCCACCCAGGAGAGGGGAGAACCAACAAAATTAAAACATCGTCTCAAAGGAAACCCAGAAGCACACTGAGGAAGGGAAGTCGGGAGCTAGGGAGCGTGGCTAAAATGTCCTGAGTTTGTTCTGGGCGCTTCCTCTTATGATGTCTTTAGGATAATTCAGAGGCAGCATAGGTCCATATTAGCAAATGAGGGCACAGATGATGGCGGTCCAGCTCTCTGCCCTGCTTGGCCCTAGCACAATCCTGCCGGCCTTCCAAGTCAGTTTTCCTTTTCTTCCTTAAAAATTTTATTTTTTGTTGTCTATGTGTGTGTGTGTGTGTGTGTACACATGCTTTAGTAACATGGCGTGCGTGAGGAGGCCAGAGGATAACTTGGTTGGAGGTGCTTTTGTCTTTCTACCGTATGGGTCCTGGGGATCAAATATAAGTTGTCAGCCGTGGTGATAAATGCCTTTACCACTGAGCCACCTCACAGGCCACAGAAACAATTGTTTTGTTTTAATTGGAGACTCTTACTTTAAGCCACAGTACCTTTAACTTCTTCCCACGCTCAGCAGGAAGTTGCATTCGCTTCCGGGTCAGGGTACCTTTTAAACATACCAGTTCTCAGTGACATAAAAACTGCTTATTTCTTAAGCCTGTCCATGAAACTTCGTGGTATTTCATGAAGGATTCTGGACTACCTGGCGCTGTGTAGCAGGGAAGGGGACAGACAGTACGGACCAGACGGACCCAGATTCATCTTTAAACCCCGGTGACTGTGTGAACTCCAAGGAGTGCCTTGCTCTGCTCATGTATCAAACAGACTCGATGTTTATCACCTTGCAGAATGCCACAGAGCTTAGTGATATTGGGAAATAGGCTAGCGCTGGGCCTTTAGTATATGGCAGTGAGCTTTAAAATAGCAGGAGGTAGTGGTGACCGGAAAGCGTGGATTTGCTGCGGACAGCTGGAGCCTGGTGATAACATCTCTCCTCCAAAATCAAGCTATGTACGCTCTAACAAAGGTTGGACTGCGTTGTTCCTTATTCAACCTGAAACCTTATGTGAGCTTAGACAGAAAAGATGTTTTCTGAAGTATAAAGGGGCCCCCACATACTGTCACATGGGGTTGGCTCTCATTTAGAAGGACTATAAAGGGACTGGGTGGCCCTGGCCTTGTGTAGGTAGCAGCGTGGGAAATATGACGGAAAAGGCATAAGAAATAAGGCACCGAGGATGTGGTGATGTGGGTTCCCTCTGTATGCTGTGTATATGATTTATTACCATTGGTTAATAAAGAAGCTGCCTGGGCAAATGGATTAGTAGAGCAAAGTCAGGCAGGAAATCCTAACAGAGATACAGAGAGTAGGCGGAGTCACAGAGATGCCATATAGCTACCTAAGGAGAAGGATGCTGGAACTTTACCAGTAGGCCACAGCCTCATGGTGATACACAGATTAATAGAAATGGGTTAATTTAAGCTGTAAGAGCTAGCTAGGAATGTGCCTAAGCTGTTGGCCAAACAGTGTTGTAATTAATATAGTTTCTGTGTGATCATTTGGTTCTGGGCAGCTAGGAAATGAACGAGCAGTCTCTGCCTACCATGTGGCCCCGGAACCACTGAAGAGCCGTGCTGCCGTCCATGCGGATACTGCTTGGCATCTTAAAAATCTGTCTGCCTGTCTGTGTTTCCCACAGATCTGCACCCCTGACCTGGTGGTCTTCCTGGCCTGTGCCAGCCAGAGGCTCAGGGAGAGATTAGCGAAGCGTGCAGAGCAACAGGGACGGCCTGATGACAACCTGAAAGCCACCCAGAGAAGACTAGGAAACTTCAAGCAGAACGCCGCCCCACTGGTGAAATACTTCCAGGAGAAAGGACTCATCGTGACTGTAAGTTGGCTTCCCTGGAGCACAGCCACACAATGCGACCTTTCCGACTGTCAGCCGGCCATGTTCTCACTTAGAAATTCTCTTTATTTTAAGAGGTGGCTTTGGGAACGATGGGCAGTATTGATGAAAAAATTTTAGTCATTTTTAATAATATCCCTTGATTTAATAATAATGATTTTTTTAAAGTTTGCATTTTAGTTTGATTTTTGTGAGGAGATATGTTGTTAATCTTGTCTATGGCTCCCTACCATTCAAGTCTGAAGTGTTTTGAAGTGATCATCTGGGTAGTTTTAAGCAACATTTGCCCATTCCTCTGTTTACTGCAGTTATCAGTAGACGTATAGACAGCAGTTGGCATGGTGTGATAGATAAGTTTTAGGTTGGACTTAGTCATGTACTCTACGAGATAACAGATTCTGACTCTGCCATCGTATTTTCTGATGGTTTGGCTTGTCATAAATGAGGGCTGGTATTGAAATGGCAGCTGTCCATCTTTCTGCTCCTTTCAAACAGTACAACGTATACGCACATGTCGGTGTAAACATTTTCCTACACACTCAGTTGGTCCTATATTTACTAGGATTCAAGTGTGCCAATGAAGGATGATACCGGGTCTGCAGGCCTTGCAGTTTTTAGAACATGAGCCTTGCGCGGTGAAGGCCCACCCTGATTGACAACATTCCAGGTCTGATCAATATTAAGTCACAGCAAAGACAGACATCCCAGGCCACAAAGAAGCTCCTCATGCCACAAGAGCCATAGCAGCTTCCTGGCAGCTGGACTATGGTAGGCAGCACGGGACCTTTCTTTCCTGCCCTCTGCCTCTTCTGCCAGACTAAGAGTTCTGGCCTCGTGGGCTGGCACACTCAGCTGTGAATCAGCTGAGAACAGTGTACACCCCATCTCTTCTCCCAGTTTTTATGTGTAGTGACTGACAAGCCTTCACAGAACCCCTGTGACCTAACGGTGCCTGTGCCAACTGTCTCTTGGTTGGACGAAGATGTCCTTAGAACAGAAGAGACAACTGTGGCGTTTGGATGGGAGTCTTCTCCATCTTGATGTATTGTTTGTGACTGTGCTTTGAGTCAAGAGTTGTAAGTCTGGTCTGGAGATGGTTTCCTGTGCTAGAGGTCGCTTATTGTTTGGCTTAAAACAGGTACTTGAGAGCTAGGAAATAATTAGGAACATCGGGGTGGGTTTTTCTGTGTCTGCGTGTGTACACACGTGCGTGTGTGTGCACATGCTCCTGCATGTGTGCGTGTGTTTGGTTGTTGTGTTTTTCTCACCTACCAGTGCTGAGTTTTGCCTTGTGCTATGATTAAAGAAATGAACTCTGCAGACTAAATCCCAACTGCAGGGAGCAAAGCCAGAGTTTTAATTGCTGTGTCCAAGGCTTGGAGGTATCGCCAGAGTGCCCTCATGGCTCCCTGCTTTCCTCACTGCAAGCTGAGCAGATTTCCCAAATGAATGCAGAATGGGAAGTGTTAATTTACTAATATTTTGCGCGGAGGTGAAATGCCATTGCCTGTAATTCAAGGAGTCAGTACCGGTGGAGCTGGCGGCCCATGACCTCACTGCTGAAGCCAAATGGGTCCTAAGATAAATGCCTCTAATTACTGGGAAGAAACTTGCCTTGCAGAGTCACCTTTTAGAGACTAGGAAGCACAGGCTGAGCTCCCGAGAGTATAATAATTTGGATAAAAATCTCCTGACAAAGACATAAATACTGTCTCCTGAGATACACACGCTCTTTCCGTGCTGGGAGCACAGTTCCCTTTTCGATCCGAAACTTGGTGGCACTTCTGTGTTTAGAGATAAATAATAAAAATGATCATCTTTATTCATTTTAACACTTTAATAAAAATCTGTTAGTTAATAGGTTAGACTCAGAGTTTTCCTTTTCTGTCTCCCATCCAGCCCCCTGCCTGGGCATCTACCTGCCACTCCTAATGGAGTCCTTTCTTCACCTAGTAAAGGACCACTAAGAAGACGCTGCTCCGCTAGTCGTCAGGGATGCGGGCTGAGGAGATGGGTCAGTGGGGAAGGGTGCTCGCCGAGTTCAGAGACGGTTGCTATGATAACCACCATAACTAAAGGCAACACAGAGAGCAAAGGGTTCATTGCACCTTTGAGGTTCAGTCCATTATTGAGGAAGTCAAGGCAGAAACCCCAGGAAAATGCTGCTTTCTGGCTTGCTCTCCCAGGCTTGTTCGGCAAATTTTCTTATACAACCCAGGCCCTCCTACCTAGGAATGGTTCTACCCACAGTGGCCTTAAGCCCTTCTTCATCAATCACCTAATCAGGAAAATGCCCCCACAGACATGTCCAGAAGCCAGTGGTCATTTCTCAGTTAGAGTCTGTCTTCCCAAAATCTTCTAGGTTTGTTTAAGTTGACAATAACCAGGACAGATGCCAACACCCATATATAAAGCTAGGCATGGCTGAGAGTGCTCTTAACCCCAGCACTGAGGGTGGGGTAGGGACAGGAGGTTTGCTGAGTCTGGCTGGCTGGCCACCCGGCCTAGCTGAAGAGCAGGAAGCTCGGTGAGGTTGATATCCTTTCGTGACTTCTGTGTCTCTTATTTTCTCTTCTGCCCCCCCCACTCTTCTAGCATCTAAAACTCTTACTAGTAAGAGCATGCCTTTGAGGAAACGGCGGCTGCTCCCAAACAGATGTCACTGAAGAAACCCCAAATTAGTAATGCATGGGTCTAAAACTTCAGGCCAGCCTGGTTTTTTTTTCTTTAAATATGACTGTTGATGAATTATGAAATTGATCCAATGGTGTATTTTGAGGTGAATTGAATCAAGAGTCTCATGCCTGCTACGCAAGCCCACTACCACTGAGCTATGTCCTTGGCCAGGAATTTCTCTAACAGCCATACTGTCTACATAGACAAGATGTGTCTGAATCGTGTCGTTGAATCATAATGGATGTCAACCCATTCTGTTTTCTTTTTCCTCCTCCTTCATTGACTGTGTATCTGTTGGTAGCTGTGACTAAAGGAAAAGCCATTTTGACTGAGCAGAGAGTCTAGTAGTCGGAGGTACAGCGTAACGCCGCCTGGTTGTGATCTTGTCAATGTTATTCCCGTTAGTTGAGCTCCGTGGCACGTCGTTTATTACATGTTTGTGCATGCAGTATTGTTCACAGGCTGAGTTTAAATGCTAGGAACTCCGAAGGCTGGGGTATTGGGTCCTTGTGGAATTATATTGGATATAATTTCCTTTCATTCTTTGTTGATTCTTACACTTTTAATTAAAGAGTGGGATGTTGGGATTTCCAGAATTTGGAAAATGTCTTTCATGATGATGTGGGTGTTAGGCATTAGGGAAGTTGCTTATTTGGTGTTAACCGAGTGAGCGACTCTCGTGACATGTTGGGCCCTTAGACTTATGAACTGCCTTGCTATTGGGTAATAAGTTTGCTTTTATAGATTTTTGAAGTCTCAATATAATGTTTGCTATTATCTTAATTTAAAAACTTAAACAAAAGCAAATTAGTTTTGTTTGAGTCATCGTTGGTCAAGAAGTCTTGTAATTTTGTTTCTTAGCTCTGTGGTGTCTGCCTGTGGACGCCAGGCCGGCGCTCTATCACAGAGACGTAGCTCCAGTCTACTTTTGTATAGATATGGTGGGCTCCAAAAGTGCATACACAAAGCTTTTTTTTTTTTTTTTTAGAGAAAGAAATGTTTTAAGTTCTTGAAAACAGGAGGGGGAAAGGGACTGCCAGTTATCTCCTAAATGCATCAAGCTTTGTGCTCTGGGCATTTCACGAAGCTAGAAAGACAAACAACTTACCAGTGCTGGACAAACGCGGCTTAGCATGGGTGATAAGCGGGGCCAGTGAGATGGCTCAGCCAATCAGGGTGCTTGTTAGCAGACCTAACAACCAGAGTTCCTTCCCCTGACCCCACCTGATGAGAGGACAGGACCCACTCTCCAAGTTGTCCTCTGACCTCCCCGTGCTTGCCATGGTGTACATGTACACACACACACACACACACACACACACGCACACACACGCACGCACGCATGCATGCGCGTGCATACACATACAAAAAACACTTCCAAGCACAGTAAATAAGTAAAATTCAATGTAAAAGATTTTCTTTTTAAATCTGTGTGATAGTCAGTGAATGCCTACCGCCTCCTTTAGGTGGTGAATCAGTCCCACAGCCATGTTCCTTGTGGACTTTTGCAAGAGGAGGGAAAAAATACAAGAATTTAAAGTGGGATGTAAACCACAGTCGTAAAATGTATGCAAAGCCTCTTAGTTCACATGTAAACTACAGTCGTAAAATGTATGCGGAGCCTCTTAGTTCACATCAGACTTTGCCAACTGGATTTCTCCACACAACAAACACATAGGCTGAGAAATATTAAAACAGGATTATTTCTTGTTCATCAACACCAGCTTTCCCAAGAGAGTGGACAGCTGATTGTAGCAAGACTGTATTCTCTCAAGTCAGTAATTATCCCATGATTGTAGCAAGACTGTATTCTCTCAATCCAGTAGTTATCCCATGATTGTAGCAGGACTGTATTCTCTCAGTTCAGCAATTATCCCATGATTGTAGCAGGACTGTATGCCCTCAGTTCAGCAATTATCTCACATAATTTTGGAAGTTTGGTTTTGCAGAGCAAGAGTAATAGAAAAAAAAAGAGTTATCTATTCTTGGCATTCTTTGAAGTGGACATATTTATTTATTAATTTTTGAGACAGGGTGTCATGTAGCTCAGACTGAACTCAGACTTGATGTACAGCTGAAGATGACCTTGAATTTCTGACCCCCAACCTCCATCTCCCTAGTGCTGGTTTTATAGGCACGTCCCAACACACCCTCCTGGAATATGCAATGCAGGGGATGGAACCTGAGGCCTGCTGAATGTTAGGCAAGCCCACTACCAATTGAGCTCCATCTTCATCCCCTGAAATGAATATTTCCAACATGCGTGCTCTGCACGCGTGCGTGCGCACACACACACACACACACAC